TAGCGTTTGTTGCTGCTTTCACCATGTTTCCGCATTCACCTCGGAACATTAAACCGATTTAGAGACTTTTCTCTGTTCTTCTTAATCAGATAGAGAAACACCTTGTATCTAGCAACAACTTCTTGTACAAAACTTTCATTGTTCAGATAAATCCCAAATTATTCCGTTTAGCTTACCGGATTAAGCCTGTGGCAATGCCAAATCCATTCACAGTCAAGAGGAGGAACCAAAGGACCTTCACTAACCGATGACTCGGAGTATTTGGCAAGCAAAGGAAGAACCATTTAAATTTGAGAACTTTGAACAATAATCAAACAACCCATCAAGCTCACTTAAAAGGATTCAATTCATTTGAACAATAATATGTTTAAGATTGTTCTTTATGAGTTGAAATCACAAGAACCGAACCGGAAGAGATTCAAAACCTGTAGATGGCTCTTTCAAGTGCAGGACCATCGTAAAGCCCTCGATTCATATCAACAATTTCAAGGAATTGAAGCTGTTTCTTGGCTGCAGCAAACAAGTCAACGCTTGTCTCTATCTTCTGGGCTTCAATCCACTTTAATTTTCACCTCCCAATAAAAGTCCATAACCCCCGATCTAGAAACTCTAATGGACATGCTCTTAAGGGTCAAAACCTTTTTTTGGTTTAAAATTTTTAGATTTAGGTTTTAAAAATCTTTAATTAGTGATATTTTTTAAAATAGACAACTAATAGTAGCATTTTTTAAAATATACACACCAAAAATATCATTTTTGTAATTGTCCCTTTATTTTTTTTCTTTTTTTGCTAAAAATGATTAGAGTGCTAAATTAGTAATCATCATAGCTTTCTAACCATGATTGAAGAAAACTTGTGCAAACTAAGAAAAACATGTTAATTAGTAGTAAAACAAAAATAATTATTTATAAATCGTGCTTTATAAATATAGAATTACATTATCATTTGATTGTTTCACACATTATTAACAAAAATCTTTTTTCTGCTTTTAACTAGATCTAATATGCTTTCATCACGTTTATATGCCAAGACATTATATATTGTTGGAATCTGTCAAAAGAAGATTCGCCACGCATCAGTTCAACATTTTTTATATGATTTGGCTCAACTAGTGGAAAAGTATATCAAAAATATGTACTAAATAGCCTAATTTTCAAAAAATTTTGACTAAAAAGCGTGTAAAGTAAAAATTTGCTATTTTATCACCTAAATGTTTTTTTTTTTGTAAATCAGGGGATAATCCGGGTTTTTACCACCCGACTAATCCTCCAGGATAAATGTAGTTGTCGAATAGTCCACTCATTAGGTTTTCTAATGGGAAAAAAGCGTGGCAACATCAGGTTTTCACGAATAACTGCCTTATTTAGGACACTATTCTAATTTTATTTTACCTAGCTACAGGGACTACATAATACTTATCTTGTAGATAAACATTTTTGTTGGCACTTGGCTGCATATCAACTTTACAAATAGCGTGAGATCGCATTTACATATCCATTGTATCGGACGGTGTGATGAGCTGCGACAATTATATGGTCCCGCCCGAGCCGACTCATTTTGCCTTTAAAGCCTAGCGAACTCAATTATTTATAGTTTTTTGTGGCACACGAGAAATGGCATCTCATGCCGTTTCTAGCCGACAAAAACCACACGTAGTTTGTGTGCCTTTCCCGGCTCAAGGCCACATCAATCCGATGCTCAAGGTTTCTAAACTTCTACACGCTAAAGGCTTCCACGTCACGTTCGTCAACACCATCTACAACCACAACCGGCTACTCCGGTCCTGTGGGCCCAACGCTCTCGACGGACTTTCTTCTTTCCGGTTCGAGTCAATCCCTGATGGTCTACCGGAGACCTGCGCAGACGCCATACAAGACGTCTTTGCCCTTTGCGAGTCCACCATGAAGAACTGTCTAGCTCCGTTCAAGGAGCTTCTTCGGCGGCTTAACGCCGGAGATGATGTTCCTCCGGTGAGCTGTATTGTGTCGGACGGTGTGATGAGCTTTACTCTTGATGCTGCGAAGGAACTTGGAGTCCCGGAGGTTCTTTTCTGGACCACAAGTGCGTGTGGCTTCTTGGCTTATCTACACTTCTATCTCTTCGTCGAGAAGGGGTTATCTCCACTAAAAGGTTTGTATTATTGTTTTGGTTAATGATTTAGTCAGCGTTAGAATTTTTAGATGGAGTAAAAGATTTGTTACGAGATCATTAAATATATTTTGTTAACTTAAGAAATGGGATAAAATTAGCTCAGAACTTCTTTAAAAAAGCTAATAACTGCCGTCCAAAAAACAGTTTAAAGGCTTAGGTGTGTAAAGAAAGAAACTTGATCACACTACAAAACAAATGATACAATGTATTTGAATAACTAAAACCAACGTTTCTATTTTTATTTTAAAAACCAAAAGCTAAAGAGAGCACGTCCTTTCTGGCTCTGAACTTACACTATTAATTGTAAATGCATCAAACGTTGCATATTAATATACTATGCTTCAGATTTTGTTAGTAAAAATAGAGAGATTAAACTATTACTAATAAAATAAAATGGTGGTGGGTTTAGCAGATGAAAGTTACTTGACCAAGGAGCACTTAGACACAAAAATAGATTGGATACCATCGATGAGGAACCTACGACTAAGAGACATCCCTAGCTTCATCTGTGCGACTAATCCTGAAGACATAATGCTCAACTTTTTTATCCATGAGGCTGACCGAGCCAAACATGCTTCTGCTATCATTCTCAACACTTTCGATGACCTTGAGCATGATGTCATCCAATATATGCAATCCATTTTACCTCCGATTTACTCTATTGGACCGTTACATCTATTAGTGAAGCGGGAGTTCCACGAGGATAGTGAGCTCGGACGGATGGGATCAAACTTGTGGAGAGAGGAGTCAGAGTGTTTGAATTGGCTTGATACTAAGTCTCCAAATAGCGTCGTATATGTTAACTTTGGTAGCCTACCGGTGATGAGCGCAAAACATCTTGTGGAATTTGCTTGGGGTTTAGCGGCAACAAGAAAAGATTTTTTGTGGGTGATCCGACCGGATTTAGTAGTTGGTGATGTGGCAATGGTTCCGCCAGAGTTTTTAATAGAGACCATGGATTGTAGGATGTTAGCGAGTTGGTGTCCTCAGGAGAAAGTCCTTTCTCACCCGGCGGTCGGAGGATTCTTAACGCATAGTGGATGGAACTCAACTCTAGAGAGTCTCTCCAGCGGAGTTCCAATGGTTTGTTGGCCGTTCTTTGCAGAGCAACGAACAAATTGTAAGTTTTGCTGCGATGATTGGGAGGTTGGGATAGAGGTTGGCGGAGATGTGAGGAGGGAGGAGGTTGAAGCGGTGGTTAGAGAGCTTATGGACGGAGAGAAAGGAAAGAAAATGAGAAAGAAGGCGGAAGAGTGGCAACACTTGGCGGAGGAAGCGATAGAGCTTAACCGTGGCTCGTCGGAATTGAATTTTGAGATGGTTGTTAATAAGGTTCTCTTAGGAGAGTAGAGAACAGAGACGACATGGAGACTATAATATATTTTACATATAAGATGATTATTAAAATATGTTATACAAATAAGCATAAAAGTATCTTAAAGGGAAGAGAAGGCTGGCTAGTCCGAAAATAAAAACCTCATTTTTAGGCCATGCATGCATGTTCTAGCCAATGCCAACAATAGCATCATTACAATTCTTGCCCGACCTCTTCCAAATGCATTCCTCGTATCTTTTGTTTGGAAGTCATTGAATTGAATAATCATTGTACCTTTTTCTCTTATCATTGGCAATCAAAGCTGCTTCGTAACAAAATTCTAAAATTTTAAATTAAACTAAATGCACTCCAGCAT